GACCCCCGAAGCCCTGGAGCCACGCCTCCCAAGTCCAACCTGCAGCGGAACCTAGAATAACCCGTTATCACTAGCGCTGCTACAGTTAGGTCTTGGTTGGTACATCGACCTCCGAATAGGCGTCGAGCACCTAGGCAGACCGCCTTCAAGCATCGCTTCATTCACCATCAGATCCATCTTCGAACTAAAGTATGACTGCTCATGAAATGACGGCGGCCTCTATTATATTGACCGGTTCTGACCTGGAGAGGGGATAAGTCCTTACGACAGGCGTAGACTCTGCCCCCTGCCGTCAAGCGCGCGCTGATTGGTCGGCTAGTTCATATTTTTAGCTTCGCATTCAATCACAACTGAAAACAATATAGTTGTAACCGTTTTTATAAGAATATTATGAATTTCCAAATCTCTAATTTCAATATCACTAGGGCCAACGGATATTCTTCGGTTGAATATAAATCAGTTGCTCTGAAAAAAAGCGATTTTCAAGAGATTATGAATTTTCAAATCTATAATGACAATATAATTAGGGCTAACAGATATCTTTTTTCATTGCAGATAAATTAGTGGCTCTGAAAAGAACCGTTTTTTTTTCAGGACATTTACTTCCTGATGAGTCCAGAGAGCACCCCTGGAATTGCGCATGGTGACCCCCGAAGCCTTGGGGCCACGCCTCCCAAGTCCAACCTGCAGCGGAACCTAGAATAACCCTCGTTATCACTAGCGCTGCTACAGTTAGGTCTTGGTTGGTACATCGACCTCCGAATAGGCGTCGAGCACCTAGGCCGACCGTCTTCAAGCATCGCTTCATTCACCATCAGATCCATCTTCGAACTAAAGACTGACTGCTCATGAAATGACGGCGACCTCTATATTATATTGACCGGTTCTTACCTGGAGAGGGGATAAGTCCTTACGACAGGCGTAGACTCTGCCCCCTGCCGTCAAGCGCGCGCTGATTGGTCGGCTAGTTCATATTTTTAGCTTCGCATTCAATCACAACTTAAAACAATATAGTTGTAACCGTTTTTATAAGAGATTATGAATTTCCAAATCTCTAATTTTAATATCACTAGGGCTAACTGATTGATTGAATATAAATCAGTGGCTCTGAAAAAAAGTGTTTTTCAAGAGATTATGAAGTTTCAATCTATAATGACAATATCATTAGGGCTAACAGATAATCTTTATTCATTGCAGATAAATTAGTGGCTCTGAAAAGAACCGTTTTTTTTTTCAAGACATTTACTTCCTGATGAGTCCAGAGAGCACCCCTGGAATTGCGCATGGTGACCCCCGAAGCCTTGGAGCCACGCCTCCCAAGTCCAACCTGCAGCGGAACCTAGAATAACCCTCGTTATACACTAGCGCTGCTACAGTTAGGTCTTGGTTGGTACATCGACCTCCGAATAGGCGTCGAGCACCTAGGCAGACCGTCTTCAAGCATCGCTTCATTCACCATCAGATCCTCTTCGAACTAAAGTCTGACTGCTCATGAAATGACGGCGGCCTCTATTTATATTGACCGGTCTTACCTGGAGAGGAATTAAGTCCTTACGACAGGCGTAGACTCTGCCCCCTGCCGTCAAGCGCGCGCTCATTGGTCGGCTAGTTCATATTTTTAGCTTCGCAGTCAATCACAACTGAAAACAATATAGTTGTAACCGTTTTTATAAGATATTATGAATTTCCAAATCTCTAATTTCAATATCACTAGGGCTAACGGATATTCTTCGGTTGAATATAAATCAGTGGCTCTGAAAAAAAGCGATTTTCAAGAGATTATGCATTTTCAAATCTATAATGACATATAATTAGGGCTAACAGATAATCTTTTTTCATTGCAGATAAATTAGTGGCTCTGAAAAGAACCGTTTTTTTTTTCAGGACATTTACTTCCTGATGAGTCCAGAGAGCACCCCTGGAATTGCGCATGGTGACCCCGAAGCCTTGGAGCCACGCCTCCCAAGTCCAACCTGCAGCGGAACCCAGAATAACCCTCGTTATCACTAGCGCTGCTACAGTTAGGTCTTGGTTGGTACATCGACCTCCGAATAGGCGTCGAGCACCTAGGCAGACCGTCTTGAAGCATCGCTTCATTCATCATCAGATCCATCTACGAACTAAAGTCTGACTGCTCATAAAATGACGGCGGCCTCTATTTCTATTGACCGGTTCTTACCTGGAGAGGAATAAGTCCTTACGACAGGCGTAGACTCTGCCCCCTGCCGTCAAGCGCGCGCTGATGGTCGGCTAGTTCATATTTTTAGCTTCGCCAGTCAATCACAACTGAACACAATATAGTTGTAACCGTTTTTTATAAGAGATTATGAATTTCCAAATCTCTAATTTCAATATCACTAGGGCTAACGGATATCTTCGGTTGAATATAAATCAGTGGCTTCGAAAAAAAAGCGATTTTCAAGAGATTATGAATTTTCAAATCTATAATGACAATATAATTAGGGCTAACAGATAATCTTTTTTCATTGCAGATAAATTAGTGGCTCTGAAAAGAACCGTTCTTTTTTTCAGGACATTTACTTCCTGATGAGTCCAGAGAGCACCCCTGGAATTGCGCATGGTGACCCCGAAGCCTTGGAGCCAGCCTCCCAAGTCCAACCTGCAGCGGAACCCAAGAATAACCCTCGTTATCACTAGCGCTGCTACAGTTAGGTCTTGGTTGGTACATCGACCTCCGAATAGGCGTCGAGCACCTAGGCAGACCGTCTTTGAAGATCGCTTCATTCATCATAGATCATCTTTCGAACTAAAGTCTGACTGCTCATAAAATGACGGCGGCCTCTATTTATATTGACCGGTTCTTACCTGGAGAGGGGATAAGTCCTTACGACAGGCGTAGACTCTGCCCCCTGCCGTCAAGCGCGGCGCTGATTGTCGGCTAGTTCATATTTTTAGCTTCGCAGTCAATCACAACTGAAAACAATATAGTTGTAACCGTTTTTTTAAGAGATTATGAATTTCCAATCTCTAATTTCCAATATCACTAGGGCTAACTGATTGATTGAATAAAATCAGTGGCTCTGAAAAAAGGCGATTTTCAAGAGATTATGAATTTTCAAATCTATAATGACAATCTAATTAGGGGCTAACAGATAATCTTTTTTTCATTGCAGATAAATTAGTGGCTCTGAAAAGAACCGTTTTTTTTTTCAGGACATTTACTTCCTGATGAGTCCAGAGAGCACCCCTGAATTGCGCATGGTGACCCCGAAGCCTTGGAGCCACGCCTCCCAAGTCCAACCTGCAGCGGAACCCTAAGAATAACCCTCGTCTACCACTAGCGCTGCTACAGTTAGGTCTTGGTTGGGGTACATCGACCTCCGAATAGGCGTCGAGCACCTAGGCAGACCGTCTTTCAAGCATCGCTTCATTCACCATCAGATCCATCTTCGAACTTAAAGTCTGACTGCTCATGAAATGACGGCGGCCTCTATTTATATTGACCGGTCTTACCGGAGAGGGGATAAGTCCTTACGGACAGGCGTAGACCTCTGCCCCCTGCGTCAAGCGCGCGCTGATGGTCGGCTAGTTCATATTTTTAGCTTCGCAGTCATCACAACTGAAAAAAATATAGTTGTAACCGTTTTTATAAGAGATTATGAATTTCAAATCTCTAATTTTAATATCACTAGGGCCTAACGGATATTCTTCGGTTTGAATATAAATCAGTGGCTCTGAAAAAAAGCGATTTTCAAGAGATTATGAATTTTCAAATCTATAATGACAATATAATTAGGGCTAACAGATAATCTTTTTTCATTGCAGATAAATTAGTGGCTCTGAAAAGAACCGTTTTTTTTTTCAGGACATTTACTTCCTGATGAGTCCAGAGAGCACCCCTGGAATGCGCATGGTGACCCCCGAAGCCTTGGAGCCACGCCTCCCAAGTCCAACCTGCAGCGGAAACCTAGAATAACCCTCGTTATCACTAGCGCTGCTACAGTTAGGTCTTGGTTGGTACATCGACCTCCGAATAGGCGTCGAGCACCTAGGCAGACCGTCTTCAAGCATCGCTTCATTCACCATCAGATCCATCTTCGAACTAAAGTCTGACTGCTCATGAAATGATGGCGGCCTCTATTTATATTGACCGGTTCTTACCTGGAGAGGGGATAAGTCCTTACGACAGGCGTAGACTCTGCCCCCTGCCGTCAAGCGCGCGCTGATTGGTCGGCTAGTTCATATTTTTAGCTTCGCATTCAATCACAACTTAAAACAATATAGTTGTAACCGTTTTTATAAGATATTATGAATTTCCAAATCTCTAATTTCAATATCACTAGGGCTAACGGATATTCTTCGGTTGAATATAAATCAGTGGCTCTGAAAAAAAGCGATTTTCAAGAGATTATGAATTTTCAAATCTATAATGACAATATAATGCGCATGGTGAACCCCGAAGCCTTGGGGCCACGCCTCCCAAGTCCAACCTGCAGCGGAACCTAGAATAAACCCTCGTTATCACTAGCGCTGCTACAGTTAGGTCTTGGTTGGTACATCGACCTCCGAATAGGCGTCGAGCACCTAGGCAGACCGTCTTCAAGCATCGCTGGAGAGGGGATAAGTCCTTACGACAGGCGTAGACTCTGCCCCCTGCCGTCAAGCGCGCGCTGATTGGTCGGATAGTTCATATTTTTAGCTTCGCAGTCAATCACAACTGAAAAAAATATAGTTGTAACCGTTTTTATAAGAGATTATGAATTTCCAAATCTCTAATTTAATATCACTAGGGCTAACGGATATTCTTCGTTGAATATAAATCAGTGGCTCTGAAAAAAAGCGATTTTCAAGAGATTATGAATTTTCAAATCTATAATGACAATATAATTAGGGCTAACAGATAATCTTTTTTCATTGCAGATAAATTAGTGGCTAGTTCATATTTTAGCTTCGCATTCAATCACAATGAAACAATATAGTTGTAACCGTTTTTATAAGATATTATGAATTTCCAATCTCTAATTTCAATATCACTAGGGCTAACGGATATTCTTCGGTTGAATATAAATCAGTGGCTCTGAAAAAAGCGATTTTTAAGAGATTATGAATTTTCAAATCTATAATGACAATATAATTAGGGCTAACAGATAATCTTTTTCATTGCAGATAAATTAGTGGCTCTGAAAAGAACCGTTTTTTTTTCAGGACATTTACTTCCTGATGAGTCCAGAGAGCACCCCTGGAATTGCGCATGGTGACCCCCGAAGCCTTGGAGCCACGCCTCCCAAGTCCAACCTGCAGCGGAACCCAGAATAACCCTCGTTATCACTAGCGCTGCTACAGTTAGGTCTTGGTTGGTACATCGACCTCCGAATAGGCGTCGAGCACCTAGGCAGACCGTCCTGAAGCATCGCTTCATTCATCATCAGATCCATCTTCGAACTAAAGTCTGACTGCTCATGAAATGATGGCGGCCTCTATTTATATTGACAGGTTCTTACCTGAGAGGGGATAAGTCCTTACGACAGGCGTAGACTCTGCCCCCTGCCGTCAAGCGCGCGCTGATTGGTCGGCTAGTTCATATTTTTAGCTTCGCATTCAATCACAACTTAAAACAATATAGTTGTAACCGTTTTTATAAGACATTATGAATTTCCAAATCTCTAATTTCAATATCACTAGGGCTAACGGATATTCTTCGGTTGAATATAAATCAGTGGCTCTGAAAAAAAGCGATTTTCAAGAGATTATGAATTTTCAAATCTATAATGACAATATAATTAGGGCTAACAGATAATCTTTTTTCATTGCAGATAAATTAGTGGCTCTGAAAAGAACCGTTTTTTTTTCAGGACATTTACTTCCTGATGAGTCCAGAGAGCACCCCTGGAATTGCGCATGGTGACCACCGAAGCCTTGGAGCCACGCCTCCCAAGTCCAACCTGCAGCGGAACCTAGAATAACCCTCGTTATCACTAGCGCTGCTACAGTTAGGTCTTGGTTGGTACATCGACCTCCGAATAGGCGTCGAGCACCTAGGCAGACCGTCTTCAAGCATCGCTTCATTCACCATCAGATCCATCTTCGAACTAAAGACTGACTGCTCATGGAATGACGGCGGCCTCTATTTATATTGACCGGTTCTTACCTGGAGAGGGGATAAGTCCTTACGACAGGCGTAGACTCTGCCCCCTGCCGTCAAGCGCGCGCTGATTGGTCGGCTAGTTCATATTTTTAGCTTCGCATTCAATCACAACTGAAAACAATATAGTTGTAACCGTTTTTATAAGATATTATGAATTTCCAAATCTCTAATTTCAATATCACTAGGGCTAACGGATATTCTTCGGTTGAATATAAATCAGTGGCTCTGAAAAAAAGCGATTTTCAAGAGATTATGAATTTTCAAATCTATAATGACAATATAATGCGCATGGTGAACCCCGAAGCCTTGGGGCCACGCCTCCAAGTCCAACCTGCAGCGGAACCTAGAATAACCCTCGTTATCACTAGCGCTGCTACAGTTAGGTCTTGGTTGGTACATCGACCTCCGAATAGGCGTCGAGCACCTAGGCAGACCGTCTTCAAGCATCGCTGGAGAGGGGATAAGTCCTTACGACAGGCGTAGACTCTGCCCCCTGCCGTCAAGCGCGCGCTGATTGGTCGGATAGTTCATATTTTTAGCTTCGCAGTCAATCACAACTGAAAAAAATATAGTTGTAACCGTTTTTATAAGAGATTATGAATTTCCAAATCTCTAATTTTAATATCACTAGGGCTAACGGATATTCTTCGGTTGAATATAAATCAGTGGCTCTGAAAAAAAGCGATTTTCAAGAGATTATGAATTTTCAAATCTATAATGACAATATAATTAGGGCTAACAGATAATCTTTTTTCATTGCAGATAAATTAGTGGCTAGTTCATATTTTTAGCTTCGCATTCAATCACAACTGAAAACAATATAGTTGTAACCGTTTTTATAAGATATTATGAATTTCCAAATCTCTAATTTCAATATCACTAGGGCTAACGGATATTCTTCGGTTGAATATAAATCAGTGGCTCTGAAAAAAAGCGATTTTTAAGAGATTATGAATTTTCAAATCTATAATGACAATATAATTAGGGCTAACAGATAATCTTTTTTCATTGCAGATAAATTAGTGGCTCTGAAAAGAACCGTTTTTTTTTTCAGGACATTTACTTCCTGATGAGTCCAGAGAGCACCCCTGGAATTGCGCATGGTGACCCCCGAAGCCTTGGAGCCACGCCTCCCAAGTCCAACCTGCAGCGGAACCCAGAATAACCCTCGTTATCACTAGCGCTGCTACAGTTAGGTCTTGGTTGGTACATCGACCTCCGAATAGGCGTCGAGCACCTAGGCAGACCGTCCTGAAGCATCGCTTCATTCATCATCAGATCCATCTTCGAACTAAAGTCTGACTGCTCATGAAATGATGGCGGCCTCTATTTATATTGACCGGTTCTTACCTGAAGAGGGGATAAGTCCTTACGACAGGCGTAGACTCTGCCCCCTGCCGTCAAGCGCGCGCTGATTGGTCGGCTAGTTCATATTTTTAGCTTCGCATTCAATCACAACTTAAAACAATATAGTTGTAACCGTTTTTATAAGACATTATGAATTTCCAAATCTCTAATTTCAATATCACTAGGGCTAACGGATTCTTCGGTGAATATAAATCAGTGGCTCTGAAAAAAGCGATTTTCAAGAGATTATGAATTTTCAAATCTATAATGACAATATAATTAGGGCTAACAGATAATCTTTTTTCATTGCAGATAAATTAGTGGCTCTGAAAAGAACCGTTTTTTTTCAGGACATTTACTTCCTGATGAGTCCAGAGAGCACCCCTGGAATTGCGCATGGTGACCACCGAAGCCTTGGAGCCACGCCTCCCAAGTCCAACCTGCAGCGGAACCTAGAATAACCCTCGTTATCACTAGCGCTGCTACAGTTAGGTCTTGGTTGGTACATCGACCTCCGAATAGGCGTCGAGCACCTAGGCAGACCGTCTTCAAGCATCGCTTCATTCACCATCAGATCCATCTTCGAACTAAAGACTGACTGCTCATGGAATGACGGCGGCCTCTATTTATATTGACCGGTTCTTACCTGGAGAGGGGATAAGTCCTTACGACAGGCGTAGACTCTGCCCCCTGCCGTCAAGCGCGCGCTGATTGGTCGGCTAGTTCATATTTTTAGCTTCGCATTCAATCACAACTGAAAACAATATAGTTGTAACCGTTTTTATAAGATATTATGAATTTCCAAATCTCTAATTTCAATATCACTAGGGCTAACGGATATTCTTCGGTTGAATATAAATCAGTGGCTCTGAAAAAAAGCGATTTTCAAGAGATTATGAATTTTCAAATCTATAATGACAATATAATGCGCATGGTGAACCCCGAAGCCTTGGGGCCACGCCTCCCAAGTCCAACCTGCAGCGGAACCTAGAATAACCCTCGTTATCACTAGCGCTGCTACAGTTAGGTCTTGGTTGGTACCATCGACCTCCGAATAGGCGTCGAGCACCTAGGCAGACCGTCTTCAAGCATCGCTGGAGAGGGGATAAGTCCTTACGACAGGCGTAGACTCTGCCCCCTGCCGTCAAGCGCGCGCTGATTGGTCGGGATAGTTCATATTTTTAGCTTCGCAGTCAATCACAACTGAAAAAATATAGTTGTAACCGTTTTTATAAGAGATTATGAATTTCCAAATCTCTAATTTTAATATCACTAGGGCTAACGGATATTCTTCGGTTGAATTAAATCAGTGGCTTGAAAAAAAGCGATTTTCAAGAGATTATGAATTTCAAATCTATAATGACAATATAATTAGGGCTAACAGATAATCTTTTTTTCATTGCAGATCATTAGTGGCTCTGAAAGAAACCGTTTTTTTTTTCAGGACATTTACTTCCTGATGAGTCAGAGAGCACCCCTGGAATTGCGCATGGTGACCCCCGAAGCCTTGGAGCCACGCCTCCCAAGTCCAACCTGCAGCGGAACCTAGAATAACCCTCGTTATCACTAGCGCTGCTACAGTTAGGTCTTGGTTGGTACATCGACCTCCGAATAGGCGTCGAGCACCTAGGCAGACCGTCTTCAAGCATCGCTTCATTCATCATCAGATCCATCTTCGAACTAAAGTCTGACTGCTCATGAAATGACGGCGGCCTCTATTTATATTGACCGGTTCTTACCTGGAGAGGGGATAAGTCCTTACGACAGGCGTAGACTCTGCCCCCTGCCGTCAAGCGCGCGCTGATTGGTCGGCTAGTTCATATTTTTAGCTTCGCAGTCAATCACAACTGAAAAAAATATAGTTGTAACCGTTTTTATAAGAGATTATGAATTTCCAAATCTCTAATTTTAATATCACTAGGGCTAACGGATATTCTTCCGTTGAATATAAATCAGTGGCTCTGAAAAAAAGCGATTTTCAAGAGATTATGAATTTTCAAATCTATAATGACAATATAATTAGGGCTAACAGATAATCTTTTTTCATTGCAGATAAATTAGTGGCTCTGAAAACAACCGTTTTTTTTTCAGGACATTTACTTCCTGATGAGTCCAGAGAGCACCCCTGGAATTGCGCATGGTGACCCCCGAAGCCTTGGAGCCACGCCTCCCAAGTCCAACCTGCAGCGGAACCTAGAATAACCCTCGTTATCACTAGCGCTGCTACAGTTAGGTCTTGGTTGGTACATCGACCTCCGAATAGGCGTCGAGCACCTAGGCAGACCGTCTTCAAGCATCGCTTCATTCATCATCAGATCCATCTTCGAACTAAAGTCTGACTGCTCATGAAATGACGGCGGCCTCTATTTATATTGACCGGTTCTTACCTGAGAGGGGATAAAGTCCTTACGACAGGCGTAGACTCTGCCCCCTGCCGTCAAGCGCGCGCTGATTGGTCGGCTAGTTCATATTTTTAGCTTCGCAGTCAATCACAACTGAAAACAATATAGTTGTGAACCGTTTTTATAAGATATTATGAATTTCCAAATCTCTAATTTCAATATCACTAGGGCTAACTGATTGCTTCGGTTGAATATAAATCAGTGGCTCTGAAAAGAAAAGTGATTTTCAAGAGATTATGAATTTTCAAATCTATAATGACAATATAATTAGGGCTAACAGATAATCTTTTTCATTGCAGATAAATTAGTGGCTCTGAAAAGAACCGTTTTTTTTTCAAGACATTTACTTCCTGATGAGTCCAGAGAGCAACCCTGGAATTGCGCATGGTGACCCCCGAAGCCTTGGGAGCCACGCCTCCCAAGTCCAACCTGCAGCGGAACCTAGAATAACCCTCGTTATCACTAGCGCTGCTACAGTTAGGTCTGGTTTGTACATCGACCTCCGAATAGGCGTCGAGCACCTAGGCAGACCGTCTTCAAGCATCGCTTCATTCACCATCAGATCCATCTTCGAACTAAAGTCTGACTGCTCATGAAATGACGGCGGCCTCTATTTATATTGACCGGTTCTTACCTGGAGAGGGAATAAGTCCTTACGACAGGCGTAGACTCCTGCCCCCTGCCGTCAAGCGCGCGCTGATTGGTCGGCTAGTTCATATTTTTTAGCTTCGCAGTCAATCACACTGAAACAATATAGTTGTAACCGTTTTTATAAGAGATTATGAATTTCCAAATCTCTAATTTTAATATCCTAGGGCTAACGGATATTCTTCGTTGAATATAAATCAGTGGCTCTGAAAAAAAAGCGATTTCAAGAGATTATGAATTTTCAAATCTATAATGACAATATAATTAGGGCTAACAGATAATACTTTTTTCATTGCAGATAAATTAGTGGCTCTGAAAAGAACCGTTTTTTTTTTTCAGGACATTTACTTCCTGATGAGTCCAGAGAGCACCCCTGGAATTGCGCATGGTGACCCCGAAGCCTTGGAGCCACGCCTCCCAAGTCCAACCTGCAGCGGAACCTAGAATAACCCTCGTTATCACTAGCGCTGCTACAGTTAGGTCTTGGTTGGTACATCGACCTCCGAATAGGCGTCGAGCACCTAGGCAGACCGTCTTTAAGCATCGCTTCATTCACCATCAGATCCATCTTCGAACTAAAGTCTGACTGCTCATGAAATGACGGCGGCCTCTATTTATATTGACCGGTTCTTACCTGGAGAGGGGATAAGTCCTTACGACAGGCGTAGACTCTGCCCCCTGCCGTCAAGCGCGCGCTGATTGGTCGGCTAGTTCATATTTTAGCTTCGCAGTCAATCACAACTGAAAACAATATAGTTGTAACCGTTTTTTATAAGAGATTATGATTTCCAAATCTCTAATTTCAATATCACTAGGGCTAACGGATTCTTCGGTTGAATATAAATCAGTGGCTCTGAAAAAAAAGCGATTTTCAAGAGATTATGAATTTTCAAATCTATAATGACAATATATTAGGGCTAACAGATAATCTTTTTTCATTGCAGATAAATTAGTGGCTCTGAAAAGAACCGTTTTTTTTTCAGGACATTTACTTCCTGATGAGTCCAGAGAGCACCCCTGGAATTGCGCATGGTGACCCCCGAAGCCTTGGAGCCACGCCTCCCAAGTCCAACCTGCAGCGGAACCTAGAATAACCCTCGTTATCACTAGCGCTGCTACAGTTAGGTCTTGGTTGGTACATCGACCTCCGAATAGGCGTCGAGCACCTAGGCAGACCGTCTTCAAGCATCGCTTCATTCACCATCAGATCCATCTTCGAACTAAAGTCTGACTGCTCATGAAATGACGGCGGCCTCTATTTATATTGACCGGTTCTTACCTGGAGAGGGGATAAGTCCTTACGACAGGCGTAGACTCTGCCCCCTGCCGTCAAGCGCGCGCTGATTGGTCGGCTAGTTCATATTTTTAGCTTCGCATTCAATCACAACTGAAAACAATATAGTTGTAACCGTTTTTATAAGAGATTATGAATTTCCAAATCTCTAATTTCAATATCACTAGGGCTAACGGATATGTTGAATATAAATCAGTGGCTCTGAAAAAAAGCGTTTTCAAGAGATTATGAATTTTCAAATCTATAATGACAATATAATTAGGGCTAACAGATAATCTTTTTTCATTGCAGATAAATTAGTGGCTCTGAAAAGAACCGTTTTTTTTTCAGGACATTTACTTCCTGATGAGTCCAGAGAGCACCCCTGGAATTGCGCATGGTGACCCCCGAAGCCTTGGAGCCACGCCTCCCAAGTCCAACCTGCAGCGGAACCTAGAATAACCCTCGTTATCACTAGCGCTGCTACAGTTAGGTCTTGGTTGGTACATCGACCTCCGAATAGGCGTCGAGCACCTAGGCAGACCGTCTTCAAGCATCGCTTCATTCACCATCAGATCCATCTTCGAACTAAAGTCTGACTGCTCATGAAATGACGGCGGCCTCTATTATATTGACCGGTTCTTACCTGGAGAGGGGATAAGTCCTTACGACAGGCGTAGACTCTGCCCCTGCCGTCAAGCGCGCGCTGATTGGTCGGCTAGTTCATATTTTTAGCTTCGCAGTCAATCACAACTGAAAAAATATAGTTGTAACCGTTTTTATAAGAGATTATGAATTTCCAAATCTCTAATTTCAATATCACTAGGGCTAACGGATATTCTTCGTTGAATATAAATCAGTGGCTCTGAAAAAAAGCGTTTTCAAGAGATTATGAATTTCAAATCTATAATGACAATATAATTAGGGCTAACAGATAATCTTTTTTCATTGCAGATAAATTAGTGGCTCTGAAAAGAACCGTTTTTTTTTCAGGACATTTACTTCCTGATGAGTCCAGAGAGCACCCCTGGAATTGCGCATGGTGACCCCCGAAGCCTTGGAGCCACGCCTCCCAAGTCCAACCTGCAGCGGAACCTAGAATAACCCTCGTTATCACTAGCGCTGCTACAGTTAGGTCTTGGTTGGTACATCGACCTCCGAATAGGCGTCGAGCACCTAGGCAGACCGTCTTCAAGCATCGCTTCATTCACCATCAGATCCATCTTCGAACTAAAGTCTGACTGCT